CTCTAGATATCTACATGTATACTGTCTTGAATCGCTCAAGAACGTTCTATCTTATATGCAGCTCTTGAATCGCTCAAGGGTTTTCTCTAGATATCTACATGTATACTGTCTTGAATCGCTCAAGAACTTTCACTAGATATTTACTTTCGGCCTGTCTTGAATCGCTCAAGAGTTAATTGTCTGGCCTACTTAAAATATATTGCTGAGAATATATTTTTTGTTTTTCCTTGTGGCCTCTTTCTTTGTTTAGGAGGCTACCTCGTCAGTACATGTTTGTTTTTGTAGTATTGTATATAGTTAGCTTATTGTGTTGAGTGAGTAGCCCCTGATACGCCAAAGTATAAGTTTGTATTTTCTGTTATCTTGCTATCTGCTTCATTTAAATATCTCGAATTGTAATAAACAGGTAAACTGTTGTTTCATCGTTTTTGGTGTGTATAAATGTCAATTGGGCCCCCTCATGATTAGAAAATTGGGAAATTTGGTTCAAGGTGGGCTTAGTTACACAGGCCCACATACAACTATAGTAGTTTTTAAATCATTTTAAAGTTTTTAGATCAATATTTAAATATTCTCCTTAAAAACTTCTAACCTTTTGCCAGCTTTGGATATATGTCTACTGTTGATACAAAGTTAACGACCACAGCAGTAACTTATACGGGCCAATGGCACTTCACGCGGTTACATTCGCAGACTTATGATTACTGGACACTAATATCTGTACTGTAAGATGCCTGTGGACTACTTGCCCAATATTTACAAAGCATAAAATTAATACCTTAGATAGTGGCACAATTGTGAGTTATATGTATGTCAACCTCTTTTTATTGGAGTTATTGCCCTTTAAGGAAATTAAGGTAATTTCAAAACACAGAGATATTTCTTCTGATGGGGAAAGTCTAGATTGACCCATGTAAGCCTGCAGCTTACAAATCTAGTTTTAACTTGATTTGATTAAAATAGGTATTCCTTGTTCATGTGTGATGACTATCCTCAAGTATTGACCATAGTTTATATTGATTTCTTGTTACTTCTTCTTGTAGAGGTTAAGCAATGAAGTAGAACACGGACAGTTTCCGTGGCAGCAACAACAGAATCAAGATTACGCATTCTCACAGCAGCAACATCTACAGTTTCAACAGCAGCAACATCAGCATCTGGAGTATGCACAACCACAACTGCCACAGGAACAGTTTATGCCACAGCCCCAGCAACAACTACAGCCCCAGCAACAGCACCAGCAACAAGTACATGATCAGGAAATCCTCTTTAATGGAATTACAAAGGTATTATTTAGCAGATATTTCTAAATGTATATATATATTCATATTTTAATCTCACACCTTTTTCTGACAAAGTGACTTCATCCTTCAATATTTGTAATTATATTATATATCGATGGCAACGTTGAATATATTTGTCTTTTTTTACAGAGTTGGTCAACATCAGGCAAGTGATTCATGACCAAACGTCATTTATTCTGTCTTTCATAGGAACAATTATCCGGAAAGGTGAAACACCTTGCCTTCTCTAAGGCATGCAAAACCTTGTGTAGGATGATGTTTAAGGACAGTGAGAGAGAGGGGCACTCTGTTTCCGGCATGGGGGAGAAGCCGGGTCTTGACAAGGAGAAACTTGAACAGTTATATGGTAATTTTCTTGTATATTTATTTTCTAATAAATCTAGTGTTGGTGGCAAGACAATACATATCACTACCATTACGTGCTCTTGATTCAGAACTGGATGTCAGGCTTATGTCATCCACTTGTATTTAATTTTAGAATATTAATGACAATGTGTCGAAAGTTAGATGTAAAGTAAGGAACAACAAGTTTTGTTGTCATCTAACCTTTGTTTAACAGGTAAGTAAATATATTGTTATGATAACACATGTCATTGGCACATGACTAAACGTTAAGCTCACCAGAAAAGAAAGATCTCGTAACTTAAGTACATATCTTGTTATATCATTGTAAAGCTATGTTGGTTGGAATGAAACAATAAACAATGTGAGACCAAAGTTAAGATGCTAGTAGTCAATTTTTTATCCAAGACACAAGGGACACAAGAATTTTATTTATCATCACATACATGTTTACAAAGCTCTGTAGAGCTATTATTACTTATTGGTAAATAATGGCAGATATATTTGACTTCTTTTTATTTCAGACATCATGAGGCAGCAGTTTCCTGGACCACAGAGCAGCAATCAGGCCATCAACATTAAGCTTGCATGAGTGTTGAAGCCATCTGCAACTCCTTAGAAGTCTTAAAGTGTCAATAGTAGATAAATCCAAAACATAGGTTTGTATGTGACGGGACATTTAATGTTATATCATAAGCTTGTTTTTTTTCAAATACATAAATTTGATTTTAAATTTGAAAGAATTCTTTGTACTTTCTTTTCAACAGATGTATATAATGCATCTATTGTCCTTGATTGGAAGGTATTGAAGACCTGTTTAATCAGAGCCTCAATGGAAAGTCATTATACAGTCGAACCTCGTTATCTCGAAGTCGACGGGATCGCTGGAAAACTTCGAGTTATCCGAGTATTCGAGTTAAGCGAGTTCATATGTTTGGCATAAAGCTTGGTAAAGTGTTTGGTCAAATATGAGGCTATCAATACGTTGACTGTCGGAAAAATCAACAACTTATATAAACAGTCGATAAATGACAAAAAGATAACGATATAAAATAAAAATAACAATTTATTCATAATCATATTAATTAATTGATACAAATCAATGTTACAATAACCACACATACAAACAGGAAGAACGTCTACTGTAAAACTTACATGCTGTCTCCGACCTCGCTATGCTGATAGCGGAAATGAAAGTGCGCAGGTCTTTACACAAATCACGGTATTGGAGCGTACACGTAAATGATGTTTTTAATGAGTACACGCGAAAACAATACACAATCTTTCTCTTCACGCAGGTTTTCACCCTTTCAACTGATCCAAGTATCCCCCCGGTGGAGCCGGGTCCTTCGTTGGATTGCTCAGTTGATTTCGACATTCCGAAATGGGTATGAGTTAATCAGGAAACATATCAACATTTATAGACCCCAATGACACTTGACATCTCCTCAACACGACGTACTCAATAATAATTATCGTATTGTTCCTATAATCCCTCAATTAATTATCAGTGTCACTGCCATACAAGCTCCTGTAAAAACATAAATCGACGAACCAGTCCTAGGTTGTGATTTTTACTGTGGAGCTTATTTACGCATGACCGCACACAGTGACCCATTTACCGGTTAGAATGTGTCGGCAGCTTTGGTGTAAATAATATGCCATTCAAATTGTTTACGGGCTCGCAGTGAGTACTAATTGTTGTTAATCTACATTGATGAAGTCTGTTTCTTTATTTGAACAAAGTGTTTTTACAGTCAAACACATTTTAATACAATAAGTTTAATCGAAGTAATTATGACCGAGCGTAAGCTGCTCTATGAGAACGATGTTTACCGTAGCACTGCGTCTAATATGTATCAAATAATTAAAGAATATATGATCGACTTGTGAATCTTAAGAAACTTCGAGGTAAGCGATATTTTTATGTAGGATTTACGTTGTTGGGACCGATATTTCACTTCGAGATATCCAAGTTATTCGAGTTTTCAGAGTTCGAACTATCAGAGTTTTTATTACTAAGATTAAGAACAGTTTAGGCCGGGACCCATGAAACACTTCGAGTTAAACGGGGTCTTCGAGTTAAACGAGTTCGAGATAACGGGGTTCGACTGTATCAGAAAAGTATTCTATTAATGAATTAAAATATTTAAGAAAATTATAAAGCAGTCCTTTTCTGACCAGTGTCAAATCTCTGAATTTGTACAAGAGACTCCTATTTAATAATGATATTTCAAGAGTTTCCATGATTCCTCTTTTAAAATCATTCAAATAATTTATGTTTTAGGTTTTTATACGCAAAATTGTTTCACAGGTCGCCTGAAATGAAGTTCAGATAGTTCTGTATTTAGTATTTCATTTGCTAAATTATTTGTAATGCTAGAGTGTCCCTGCAATGCTGTAAAGCCATCTTCTGAAAAAATCTG